AGCCAAGCTCTTGCCACATTCCTGGTCGACCTCTTGGCCCATTGTGATGTCAGTTCCATTGTTGCCAACCGGTCGTGTAGCTCATGTTAGGTCTCAGCGTGTGTGTTCTTGTGGTTTCTTCTGCAACATGTTGTGAGTTATTATAAACTCGAGTGGTTTTCAAGTGTGGCAGTAGTTAGCAAATGGAAATGGAAACAAATAGTTCAGCATCAAGTAATTTCATTTATTGAATTGTAATTGAAATTTTTAAGTGTTGACCGATATTTAAATAAAGGTCAATAAAATGTTAATATATTGAACATGTACAAATGTAACAAAGTCTTTCAAATTAAGGTTTTAAACTTAAAGCATCATCACTTTTAACTGAAATCTTATAAGTATAATAAAAATGTTATTGCTTTTAAAAATCACAGCAATTTGTAAGATAAGCCAAATTTAGTTCACCGGAATCGGTTTTTGAAATGGTATCCCTTAATAAGTTAGCTAAACATCAAAATCTTTGTCTCAAGTGAAAATTTTGGGTTATTTTACTCCGGTTTGAAGTCCGCTTCGGTTCAAATCTCAGCACACTAATTTATGCCGCTCCGGCCTTGGCAGCTCACTTAATTTCCAGCGCCATTTCTCTTGGCCACGTCGAAGGAGCCAGGAACAGGAGCTCGGAGCACGGAGCACGGAGCAGGGAGCAAGAAGCAGGAGCAGATTTTGGAGCGGCAGAAAGGCGGCGACAAAGTGACAAACAACTAAGCGAAAATCGCGTGCGTGACGCGTGGCAGGAGCATAAAGTTTGTGACACGTTTCCCCAGTTGCATTTTGTTTTTATTTTTGCCCAGTTGCGAGCGAGTCCTTGCGCCAAGGAGCAAAAAGGTTCGCAGTTTGCAGCAAATGGCGATGGTGATGGTGACACTTTACAGCCGCGTTGCATACTTTCGGGCGTTATGCAAGTCACGTTAATTCCGCCAGCCAACTGTGAAGGCAAAACAAAAACAAGAGCAAAAGCAAAAACAATAACTACAGCAACAACGGAGTGTTGGGAAAACTTTTGCCATTTTCAAAGGATCTTAAAAGGTGGACGAGGCAAATCATAATATTCACCATGCTAGGGCAAAATATAATACTTATATAGTGTGAATATAGTAGTATGTTTGCTTGCTGTTTTTGGCCTTCTAGATGTGCCACAGAAATTATGACCACCCTTTTTTAGCGCCTTCACTGGGAACTCATTAGGCGTGTTTATATAATATGAATTAGCTTAATTTGAAAACATTTTTTGATGCCAAAACTTTGCCTGTCTGTTCATCAGAAGATGTTGTACGGAGAATAGGGGACGAGGGGAAACTTCTGTCTCGGCTAATTTATATGCCCGTTGGACATTCTCGCGTTGGCCAAAAAGTTGCCGCCAACTTCCTCGTCTCCTGTTGCGGGTTAATAAGACGACGACCAACAAATTGCCAACATTACTCTTTTCCGGCAGAAGGGGGTAATACTGGGTCGGTTGCAAATAGACTTTTGAGTGTTGTACTTGGTTTCGCCTCGCCAGCAGGCTGTCTTGCCGTCTTTTGTCTTGTTGACTCTTTTGGTTTGGGGCCGATTCAGTCTTTGCAAGTGTCAAAAGCGCAGGCAATTAATTTGGCCTAATTAGACTCTTGGCTGGCTGCTTGCCCGCTTCACTGGCTTCCCCTCGCCGTTCCCTCTTTTACCCTTCCTTACAAACTGCAGATTTTGTGGCTTTTCAGTCTGTTAGAGCCACAAAGGATTTTCGGCCTGTTGAGCGATTTATGGCTTAATGGAAAAGACTTATTTGAGGTAAGTTTACGCGAGGGTGGGGGGAAAGGAGTATGTCTTCAAAGAAGTCAAGTACCAACCTCATAGCAAAGATTTTGTATAGCTACGCCTGGAAATTTTAAGAAAGTTTATAAGAAACAGAAAATTTATAATTATAATTGATTTTTAAACGAGACCATCAGTTAAATAACAATACGCATTGCATCTGTGCGAAATTATTTCACGGCGTTAAATAGGAGTATCAGAAATAATTTTTAAGTTTAATCTAAAGCCATAAGGACCATTTTATAATTTTTACAATTGGTAAGCCCTATCATAAATCACAAGGAAATTAAAACAATTATAATATTGTGCTTTCTTCAAGTTGTCAGCTGCATTTAACTGTCCTGAAGTTGAATATCTATAGATGTGTCCCATCGCATTCAAGGCTCTAAGATGCGGACAACTTGAACCGAAACAGTTTCGAATGCCTGTGTGCCAGGCCATAATTTGCCTAACAACTTTTGCCAATAGTTGGCACACCCCTTTTCCTGTCTCCCTTCTTTTTCTGGACTTTTTCCGATTCCCCGTTGGCTGTGGGCCAATTTCTTCGACACTGGCCGCTTATATAATAATTTTTCAGCATAATTTATGGGCGGCAAAAGTTTTCTGTGGCTGCCCAGTCGAACAATTGCCACTATAATGTTGTGGGCTCCTAGCATTTCTCATATTATTCGAGCCAAAAAATGTTTGTTGCTCCGTCCAGGCGTGAACTATGCGGTCCAGCCATCCGCCCGCCGCATCCTTCCCCTTCCCCTTCATCATGATGCCATAAATTCATGCTGCTCCGCTTATCGAAAGGAGGACATGGAAAGCAGGACCCGATCGAACTAAATGGCATAGCAAGCGTCAAAATTGATTTTAAATTGCATTCTTCGTTTGGTATTCCACTAAATAATGCCATAAATTGGGGCAATGAAATGGTTACTAGAAGAGATGACAAAGCCCATTTAAGTTTTGAATGTTGAAAGGATAACAACGAAAAATTGGCACCTGCAAATTTAACTATTGGAACTAATTATATATTTTATTCTATATAAGGAAAATATATTTAATAACATTAGAGCTATGCTAAGCTATATAATATAAAAAGCTATGTCGATTTTGCGCAGCATTATGCATGCAGTTTTTTAGAGGATCGAATCACAAGTCTTTAGAGGTATGCCACTTTGGAATCGGCTTAAGTTTGGTAAAGTTATGGACTCTCGAAGTCCAATTTTAAGTCACACTTTTACAAGACATCGGAAAATTAGAAACAACTAACATGAAAATGGGTCAAAAATTTGATCAACGTTAAATTGAAAATTTTGAATGCAGATTTTTAGAGGATCGAATCACAAGTCTTTAGAGGTATGCCACTTTGGAATCGGCTTAGTTTTGGTAAAGTTATGGACTCTCGAAGTCCAATTTTAAGTCACACTTTTACAAGACATCGGAAAATTAGAAATAACTAACATGAAAATGGGTCAAAAATTAGATCAACGTTAAATTGAAAATTTTGAATGCAGTTTTTTAGAGGATCGAATCACAAGTCTTTAGAGGTATGCCACTTTGGAATCGGCTTAGTTTTGGTAAAGTTATGGACTCTCGAAGTCCAATTTTAAGTCACACTTTTACAAGACATCGGAAAATTAGAAACAACTAACATGAAAATGGGTCAAAAATTTGATCAACGTTAAATTGAAAATTTTGAATGCAGTTTTTTAGAGGATCGAATCACAAGTCTTTAGAGGTATGCCACTTTGGAATCGGCTTAAGTTTGGTAAAGTTATGGACTCTCGAAGTCCAATTTTAAGTCACACTTTTACAAGACATCGGAAAATTAGAAATAACTAACATGAAAATGGGTCAAAAATTTGATCAACGTTAAATTGAAAATTTTGAATGCAGTTTTTTAGAGGATCAAATCGCAAGTCCTTAGAGGTTTGCCACTTTGGAATCGGCTTAAGTTTGGTAAAGTTATGGACTCTAGAAGTCCAATTTTAAGTCACTCTATTAATACCCTTAGCAAGGATATAATAATAAAGTATAATTTATATATAATAACATATGTTTAATTTTGTTATGGAGAATTATAAATAAATATATTAAATAGTATAGTTTAAATAATATAGTTTTCTTATAATAACTAATCTTTAGCTTAAAACAGGATTTGGCTCTAATTTTGTATATTTTAACAGTAAAATGGCTTGATAATTTTATTTCTGTCTTTTACGTCGCAAGTGAATAATATGGATTATCTGTCATTGAAAAAAGATTTAACAGGTGGCAAGAATTACTCAAGCTCTTGCAAATCTGACCGATAGCAAAGTGTGAATATTCCACCCTCTAATTGCGACTGATAAGAGGTGTTTATTGGTTTCGAAATCGGAGACAACGCGGCGGTGCTTATCACTCAAGTTCAGCAGCGGAAAGAGGTGTTTGCTTTGCGAAATATTCAGCTTCAGACGATCTCTAAACAAGCAAAGATAAAAAATGATCACTGCGGTGGAGCTGTGACTCACTGAGATACAGATACAAGGGGGAAGCTGAAGATACTGGAAAAAGCTCAAGACATGTCATGTGAGCAACCAAAACAGAAACTCCAAAGAGGGAGAGAGAGTGGTTCTGAGAAAAAAGTTAGGTTTGCAGCTGATATTATAAGATAAATATTCAATTACATAGTGAGAAAAAAATAATCTTGGTTAAATCATCAAAATAATATTACTTTCAAAGGTTGGGAATGAATATGATAATAATTATATCGTGTTTATTGTGGATATTTGTAGAATTAAGTTTTTTATGATTTTTTTAAATGCTGATTTTGTATATTTCACCCACATATGAAGTTTCTTACAAAAAAAAGATTTAATTGTTTTGGGTTTGGTTCAAAAAGATTAAAAATTTATGTTAGAAAAAACCAATGGGTTTTTTTCATATTCTTTTAAATGTTTTTCTTTTATTTTAGTACTTAACTGATCTTGAATTGTTGTTCTGAGTGTGGGAGCGGGAAAGCTCGTCAACAGGTGAGCTTGCAGAGCGGACCTATTGTCAGTGAAACGCGAACTGAGCGCGCCTTTGAGCCGAGCTTTTCGCTCTGAGCCAAGTGTTGTTTTTTTTTCTGTTGCCAGTTTTACTGTGCGATGGTGTGTGTTTTTTCACTCTGTTTTTTTTTGTTGCTGGGCGCGGCAGCGGCGGCAGTTCGAAGTGAACTCGCGAGCGGCCAACACGTAAGCGGCGGGTTGTGCAGCTGGGGAAAAAGACAGCGAAACAACAACAAAAAACAACACCAACAATAACCAACTCGATAATAGGCAGCGGCGCAACTGAAGTGTGAATTCATATTGAGGTTATGTAACAAAATATATGGAAAACGCGAAAACAAAACGCAGTTAAAATAGTCAAATCACACGCTCACCTAAAAAAAACGGTAATTCCAAGCACGCGCATCGTTTAAGTATATCGCGCATTCGCAATGGAGGAGGGAAAAATTCCGACGCAGACGCAGGCGCAAAGTCATCCTTTGGAGGATGTATCTCTCAATGGAAACGATGACGACAAGCAGACGCCCAAAAATTGGGTTAAATTCGACGACGAGGCGGACAGCGGCGAAAAAAACAATAACAGTAACGACGACAATGCCACACAACAACAACAGCAGCAGCAGCAACAACAAAACAAGTTAACTCTGCCGCCACCGCCGTCAGTTGTTAGTAGCAACAACAACAGGCGGGCGCGCTCGCGCAGTCCAACGACAACAACAACACCTGTCCAGGTAACTTACTCACAATCTCTCGCACTCTCGCTGTCTCTGTCTCTTTCTTACTCCCTCTTACGTGACCCAACGCAACGAAACGCATTCCAATGCAAGTCAGGCCCTTGTTGGCCCTCTCGCTCACACACCCGTTTGGAGGTACAGGAAACTCTCGAAATGAGGGAAAACTCCCAATAAAACTTTTATTTAAATTGCGCATATAAAAATAAAGATATTAAATTATCAGTAATTTTAGCTTAAAATTTATAGTTTATCATTTGTAGCAAATCCTTGATAATGAAGATTTCAGGTATCTTAAAAAAAGTATCTTAAACTAATTCCCATCATTTATTAGGAATTAGGCTTAAAGGAACAATATCACAATTTAAATAGTAATTATTTATAATATACAAAACCCAATGAATTCCAAATCCAGAGGGGGCTCTCAATAGAAGGTCATTCAGTTTAGTTTTAATCTTTCAAGTTTTTTTGATTACATTTTTTATTCAAGTCTTTACTGTATTTTTTCTGATGCCCCCTAATGGAGTTGTTATGTGAAGTAGCTTGGGTTCTTAACTTTCTTTTGCTTGAGTTTTGGAACGTTGCACGCATGGCAAATGAAGTTGGGGCCCAGCTGAGAGTTAAGTCTGAAACGGGTCCCATCCGGTGATAAACTCTGACTCAACCTACCATTACTTGCGATGTTTTTCGGTTACGTTGCTTGCCAACATGTCACAAAAGTGCTATACATAAAATGTTAGCACATATCATGGAATACTTTTTCTAAAAGTTGGGTAAATTTCCCGATAATGTTATTTCTTTATAAAAGTGTATTTCAAAATGATATATTTGTATTTATATTATGGCTCATACAAGACTCCTACCGTTATAAAATGTAAACAGAATGTGCCAACATGCGATTGTTGAAATATTTCACCTGCCTTGCTGATAATTTACTTTCTTGCCGCAAATATTTATCATTTATTTTTGTATATTTTATATTCGCTCACTTCGGTGCTTGTCAACAGGCTGTGGCCTTTTCGTACTTTACACAACCCTGACACTTTCATTTCAAAAGTATTTATTATGAGACTGAATTTCAGTTTAATTTTATTATAGCAATACAATAATGCCTTTAAAGAATGTTTAAAGGTTATTAAGATAAGATCAACAAAATTCGTGTTAGTTCGTATACTTTTTTACCTTTTTGGCTTGGGTTGCGAAACGACATTAGTCACAGCCAATTGGATATAGTATAGATTAGAGCATAAATATACACAATTGTTAGTTGACTAAGTACCAGCAATATTATGCCAACTTATCGTTTGCTCCAATATTTACCTTAACTTTAAGGTTTTTATAGTTGTGCAAAGAGCTTACCTATTTATAAATATTAAATTTCCGAAAATTATCTATGTTTGCTTTGCTTATCGAGAGAGAAAGACAAACTACAGACTCCAGAATTAAGAAGCACAGAAAAACTTTGTGTTGAACAGTATTTTCATCTCTACCTTGAGATTATTTTCGCTTAGAAATGAAAACAACGTGAGATTTTCCTTAGAACCAAACAACAATGAATAAATCGCATTCGGGTTTTTAATGACAGGCGCCTTTTGAATGCAGTGGATTGCCTTCACAAAACTATTTTTGTCAATTGAGAACGTGCCCTGCCCGAAATTTCAGTTTGACTCGCGGTTTTGTTGGGATAGTTATAGATACGTTTTTGCCGATTCTAAATGTCTGTGTCAGCTTTAAAAGTCAGACCAGAAATCAATAAAATTGATTTTCCTTGACAATTTGCATAATTGTCTTGGTGGCTAGCTATCGGGTGACCCCTGAGGCTATGGCCGTCTTAAGGGCAAGACCATTGCATTATTAACACATTATTGTTGCCATTTCGCAGCGCCCGGCCGTTTCCTCGACCACAGCTGCGACACCGGGCGAGGTGGTGGCCCAGGCCAAGGCCCCCTTGCCGGATGTGGCACCCGCTGTTTTGACAACCGAGAGCACGCACGTTAATCTGAGTGCATCCGGCAGTGGCATTGTCAGCGGTGCAAGTGCCAATGCAAGTGCAAATGCAAGTGCGAGTGGATCTGCATCTGGCCCGGCCCGACACCCCGCGCAGCTAATAAACCAAAAAGCCTCCGCTGCCCCCCTCTCATCGCCGGCTGCAGCGGCAACTTCTGGCCACCATCACAATGGAGGTGGCGCCAACGGCACTGGAATTGGCCAGCCGGCGGATCAGGGATCCGGGATGCGCACAATCGAACTGTCAACGGGTCGCATCCGCGAGGGATTCGGTGAGTTCATGTCGAGACAGTTGTGGACTTTTCTTAAAGGGTTCAAAACATATTCTGAAATACTGAATTTTACTTTTTAACAAAATAATATGTAAAGTCGAGAAAAATCGTATGTTAGCTGTTTTTAAATGGAAATAATTCTAATTCTAACTAATCATAATTAAAATAATATAATTGAAATAATATCATTTAAAAGCCTTTAAAAATTTTCTTAAATTAGGAGAAGGTTTTTATAGGGATTTTATACTTCAATACTAAGTTGTCTTTTTCGGCAGCAAATGGCGATGTGATTGTCACACTTCTGCCGGCCAACACGAAGTGGCCTTGGATAACGCCTGCCATATTCCGGCCGGAGCTGGTGCCCGAGGAGCTGATGGCTCAGGGCCTGACGGTAAGATTGCCTATCAATCTGAATTGCAACATCTTAACAAATATCCTCAATTTCTCAGCTCACCGTGGAGGATTACGTGAATGCGATGGAGACGCTGGTGAACGACTATCGCTTCACTGTGTACAATATTTGCTATAAGCGTATACTGGTATGCTGGATCCTGTTCGCCTTTGCCGTTCTGCTGGCCCTTCTTTTCTCCGGTCTGCAGGGTGTGGCACTATTTGCCCTTGGAGTGGGTTGGCTGTTCCTAAATGCGGCGGCCATTTTCCTGTGCATGTGGGTCAAGCTGCGCCTGTCGCGCGGCCTTGAGAAGTGCCTAGCCCGCGTGAACCGCCAGCTGATGCGCCACAAGATCCTGTTGGTGCTGGACGACCGGGGTCGCATCTCGTGCCACAAGGTCAACCTGTGCTTCATGTACTTCGATGCCACTCAGTGCGTTAGCTTCCTGAACGAGTTCCTGGAGCACACGGAGCAGAGCGGAGGCGATGCCATCAAGGCGGGCTGGGAGGCGAAGCTGGACATAGACCTCGAGGATATCGTCATCCAGGGCAGCCAGCCGGTGCGAATGCCCCGCAAGCAGGTGAGCAGGACCTTATCACTTTACTTTTCGGAGGGGGTTGGTCTTAAGTAGGGGTAGTTGACTTCATCTCCATCTTCCCGGGATCGCACTCGCAACCCAAACCACGTCTTTCTCTCACTCACGCCCGTCATTCTCCAATGTCTAACTGCTCTCTTTAGGCCGTGGCCCAGGAGCTGTTTCTGAGCTACCTGCAACGCTGGGGCAAGGACTTTCTGCGCCGCCGTCTGGATTGGACCGTCCAGGAGGCCGGCGTCCACGAGACGCCCCGCCATCTGCAGTCGTCCATCTGCCCGTGCCAATACGAGGAGGAGTTGTTGCGCAACAAGATCAAGATCAGCCTGCAGCATCGCCACTGCTGCGGCATCAACTGCATGGGCTGCTGGCTCTAATCTCTGACATGTAATCCTCAAATATTCCCCTTCTTAGATTGCCCCGAATCTATTAAATTTTGGTTTAGTGAAAACAGAGAAAATGTTTATTTTATTAATAGACCCTGCTATCTGACACTTGCTTATCCTCAGAAATTTTTGCATTTCAGTACTTCAAGTGCTTTTCACAAATATAACTAGAGTTCTTATCAAGTATCTACAATTTGTTAAAGTACTTATTAGCATTCGTAATTCTTTTATTTTAAAATATATATTTAATTATATTTTCATAATTCTCTTGTAATAGCATGCTGTATTTATTATTAGAACTGACTGATTTGCAAAGAATCTGTTTAGAAACCAAACTTTTAATTGAAATCAGAAATTGATATTATTTGGGTTATCTTGTTTTCTTTTTTTGTACTTAAAAAGCTTCATTACGTGTTTTGAGGTGCTGTAATATTTAAAGAACAATTATCTTTGAAGTTAGTTAATAATAATAAATTGTATAAGATAGGCTTTCAATTTCTTAAAATATTGGTTTGCTTACAGTATTATCACCCAATGAATTTTACTAAATTTATGAGGCCCATAGTTGTTAAAGTTATTGTATCTTAACCATTTTTCTTTTTAAGTTATTTGTGTAAATTGCGGCTGCTGCCGGAAAGTATGCAGTATACGATCGATGCACTTATTACTAATTACATTCCTCATACGACTGTCATTACCCTACGTTCCTAACCCGACTCACCAGCACCATCCATATGCACCCTATCTGTTTACCCCGTGTCTCACCCCCCGATCTCCCCCGAATCTGAATCTCCGCAGGAGCGCGGCATGCAGCTGTTCCTGCGCTACGGATCCCGCTGGGGCATGGAGGCCCTCAGGGGTCTGGTGGACGTAACGCCCTTGGAGCCGGGACGCCACTGCGGACAGTTCCAGTGCCCCTGCCAGTATATCAAAGAGCATCTGCAGTGCAAACCGCGAGGCAAGTTCAAGTGTTGCAATTTTGTGCATTGGGTGATGGCATCTGAGCGCTATGATAGCGACTAGAGCTTGTTGTGAATGTCTGTGTGCTGTAACTAAATGAATTTACCGAGAGCTGTCTTGAGGCTTTTGCTAGAAACCCATGAATTTACCTAATTTCCCTTCCACCCAACCGAGCTTGTATATAAATGCTGTCCGGAGAAAATACCAATGTGCTACCGCTTTTCCGTCTTTTATGCCATTGATCAACTCTCTTTCATTTCAGATGTCAGCCCCTAAGGCTGAGGCGAAGTTTGGGGGTCCTTGGTATCTCTCCTTCTTTCTTAATCTTTAACTCTTTCTCGTATGCCTAATTACATATGTGTGCTAAATTAATCAACTATGTTTTTTTCATACACAAAACAGTGGCCATAAACAGCATTGGCCAAGTAGTTTGGACCCGATTCCCCTTGTTTGGTAGCTAGAGATTTAGCCGGTTGTTGGCCACAATATAACCCAGTCCCCTACACGATTTCAATTGGTGAAACACTGAAATACTAAGCCGTTTCGATATAATTATTTCAAAAAGATTATACTGCATATTATGTTTATCAAACGCAAGCAAATGAATTTCTAACATAAGACTTGTACAAATATCTCTTAATAAAATACTTATAATTTGTTGGTGTCACAAATAAATGTCAAATATACGCCTATATGTGTCTATTAGTTGTCAGTCTTTTATTAACTATCATCCGTTGCTTATTGATTCTATATGTTAACTTTCGTTGAACGCCTCTTACAGGTTATCCATGTGGTTGCATTGTCTATGGTTCGGATCCCAGTTTTCAGTATCGTTACTAGATATGTTGTGCCTCATTTTATCATTTAACCCAACAATCGGAACTCAGTGTGTGTTCAAATTATGCAAATTTTAAATTTAATGTCATGTAAGGTATACTAAATAAATAAAGAGTTCTTCCGCATTTTCAGTTTTTCTTCAAAACACCATAATACCTGAAAGTGTCCTAATATTTGTATAGGACATTATAAAATATATACTGTTAAAATTGTAATGACCGTAAAATTAAATGATTGTCTCAGCATTTATAAAAATACTTCAATATGTCCTTTATTTGCTTTATCAAAGAACAAGAATAGAAAATTGAAAACTTAAATAACATTAATTTAATAGCTGAGTCCTATAAATGCTGATTAATATAAACCAATCTGCATGTCAGGTGTTTTAAAATATCCATTCATTGGAATCAAGGCCTTAAACTTATGACATGCACTGTTCCCATGTGGAGCCTCAATTTCTCATTTTCTCTCTCCAGTTTTGAGGTTTTTGTGGGGCATGTGCCAGTTTAACTATTATTGCATTACTTTTATTGCATAATTCAACTTTATGTTTTGCCGCATTTTAGCCACATTCGCGTTCCACAAATTGTGGCAAAAGTTTTCCGTTGCCAGAATCGTCCATTTGGTGGTGTTGCATGTGTAATGAGTCATTAACACATTGCCGCATTCGGGACATTCCATTTTAATGCCGGTCGACCACTTAAATGCCTTAATTTTAATGAAATCTCTGCATTCAAATTAGGTGCGAGGCGATTGTATCTGTGCTAACTGCAGATTCTCAGAGATTCCCTCGAGTGCGGGGAATATTTTGTGCCGAGGGTAAGTATACTTTGGTGCCGATTTGCAACGATACAACGATTCTGCAGCTCTTACGAGCCCAACAAAATTAAAAACAAAACCCGATTTCACGCTCCAATAAAACAAATTTAAACTCTTGCGGCAGAGGCGGCATGTGGCCAGAATGCGCCATTAAATTCCCCCAAAAACCCCGGACCCGAATGCAACCCAAGCCCCAACCCAAATCCATTTGCCGTGAAACTCTCGAGCAACTCGTTAGCCCAACTGCACTCCAATCGACAGCGAGTCAAACGAGGTGCAGCCCGTGGCCAAAGGCATTCTGGCACCAGGGGCGCGTAAACTAATCGCAAACAAACAAACACTCGAACCCACACACAATCATTACGCTCATTCCAAAAAACCAGATCCGGGGCTCATCAAAGTTTCGCTGGAGCTCGGTTGCTGCATTTTTCGGAAATTCAATTCATTTGTGTAATTTTCATTTGAATTACAGCCATCAAAAGCGCCATGGTTAGAGGAGGGGGCGGCCATTCCGGTGGGCGTGGCAAGTGCTGATGGCCCGCACTTTGAAACGTTTCCACGGAAGAATGCGAAAATGGTTTCTCTAACTGAATTGAAATTTTAGATAAGTTTTTGTTAAATTGTTATTAGCTTTTAAAGTTAACGTTTTTGTTTTACTTCTTCAATTAAAGATTTGGCTTTAATAAAAATGAATAACAATTATTGTATGTATTTTTTAGAAATAAGTTTTCATCCCAGTTTTAATGTCTTAGAATTTGTTAAATTGCATTCTTTAAGGAAACTTTAGGTCTCATTTATTTTGGGATGTATAGTTTATAGTTTGGCTTAGATAGTTAGAGCTAAGCCGTTTAGGTTGAAAGTTCTTTTACTTAGTTGCCTTAGTTAAGTATTTACACTGAACAAATTTGGTAAGAGTATTCAAGCAACCAGGAAGTATTTTTCGGGTATTCCCAAATCGTTGTTATTTTTTGTTTTGTTTTTTTGTTTGCTGTGTTCAAGTATTTTTTCGTCCTGTCGACGCTGCCGTCGTCGTTTTTGCATTTATTTTGCGGCTAAAACTTTAATTGAGTTTTAAACCATTTGCTGGTCTGGCCCGATTTCCCGCCTCCGCTTTCACTGCGCGGGATTGTTTATGTGAATTTGTTGTTGCCCAGACTGAAAGAAGGAAAGTGGGCATGGCCCAGCCTTTGAGTGATGAGTTTGGGCTGCAAATATTTTTCCTTCTGTTTTTTTTTTGTTTTCCTTGCTGTTTTATTCATCCTCTCCGGGAAGCTGGGGAGGATGCAAGGCTTTGCCAACTCTTTAATTTTTGCAATTTTTATTTGTTAGTTTCAGTTTTATGCCCACTTTGCATTTTAAGTGCAGGATGTTTTGCATTATTCTCCTGTTCAGGGGTGGACCTTCCTGTGTGTTTAGTCAAGAGATTTTCAATGATTCTAAAATTGAAATATATTTATTTTAATTATTTTTTTTTATTTTGCTTTCAAATGCTTAAAACCAAATTAATGTTTATTACTAGTCGCTTTCTTAAAATAAACATTAGTGTATTGTACAACAAAGCATAGAAAAAGCTAATAAAATTCGAATAAAACTAAAATCAACTGTCTCTAAAATATCCACAGATTTCCGTGACACTTTAGATATTTAAAAAAAATGTTTAAATGTGTTAGCAAATGTAAAGATAAATGCAATATTTTAAAAGCCCAAATTTATGGCTCTTTTTAGGTTCTGGTATGATCTCCAATTTTTCCATTTGTTTTCAAATGATACTGGACTATCCATTAACAAACTGTGTTCGGCCAAAGGATGCGCACACCTTGCTGGCACACACACACAGTCATGTGTTTATGCATTTACACCTCTAATAAATATGGCATTAAATCCTTTTTGACAACAGGCACCGGTGAGATAGCGAATAGGGGAGCCCGGGCCATCTATCATCATAAAAATAAACCGGACAGAGACCAACAGGAACGTGCTGTCTGCCCCCTTCGCCGCAGTGGCTATAAAACATTAAACATGAAATCGGTGGAGGATCGCGGGTGGGAGGAGACCGAGAGTAGGGCCCGTTAGCTCCCTGGGCCACAATCAACATCATTAACGCGTGCTCTAAAAGCCATTTATTTAGTGGCCAATGCGGACAGGCTGAGCCATGTTAAAAATGCTCAAAGGCCCCCAACTCGCTGACATCGAGTGTGAGAAACTATAAATTCAACGCTTTTAGCATAATTGCCGGCGCATGTGCGTGTCGCTCCAGAGACGCTCGAGCGTTATGATAAGTGGTCGCCCAAGGATGTAAGCGTCAACACTGGCGAACGTTAAGTTATGCCCTCCATCCGGCCATTACTCGTCCGAATCCTCTTGTTGGTTTACCACTCATATTGCCGGTCCTGGTAATTGCCCTCGTCCTCCCGCCAGACCTTTCTCAAAATATTATACAGCTTAATAAACTCGGGCAGCTAAGAGTCTGCTGGTGTTTAACCCTTCTACGACATAAAAACACTCGAGTGGGAAAAGGCACTAGCCTTGGATATTTATCGTTTGTCTAATCGAAGCAAATCAGGTCAGGCGGGTGGTCGGGGCGAACCTGGCTCAATGGGGCGTATGCGTGATTTATGCGTTTCAGGTCCTGACTTAATTGCCGCAAATATGCGTGCAGGCCCAATGATAATAAACATAGCTCAAGGAAGATGGATGTGAAGGAGATGTGGCTGAGCCTAGTATTATATTTCTTTGTTTATTTTTTATTTGCGTATTTTTAAAATGAGTGGCACTTTTCAAATTAAAGGTCATATATTTTATTAGTATTTTTTGAGCTTGAGTGCAGCTTATTTCACGCTTATGTTTGAGCATAATTGGCCATTAAAGTAGGTTTTATAAAAGGGTTTCCCTTGGGTTGTTTTTTAAAAAAATTAAAAATTTACTTGAGCTATCTATTAATATAGAATGTAATATTAGCTCTATAATACAGTGGAATGCAATGTTACTGAACATAGTTTAAATTTACTTTAATTTCTTAAATGTTATCATATATTTATAAGATGTACAGCTTGTATATTGTGAATTAAGCTCCTATAACTTTGCCTCTCCTTGATTGAGCTAGGCCGGGGATTCCCATCTACATGTTTACCTGTCTGAGCCAACAAGTGAGCAACCTGAAAGACAAACAAACACATGGTCCTTCACTAGCACGTGCACGGAAAAATGCCGTCCACATTGGTTCCTCCTCGGCCATTTTTGCTCTTACCCTCTTCGCAGCAGGCAGCGTTTATGTTGACGCAGATTTAATTACAATGCTTGTGCTGCATTCACGTTTATGCCACTGCAACCTGGAGTCCGCAGTCGTCCTTGTTATGGCAGTGTGTGTAAACAGCGCCCAGCTGGAGGGGAGCGAAATGGGGAATACACCCCTGGTGGGAAGTAGTAGCTGCCGCCTTTGTTTAACAACAAATACCCTCAGCGTCGAGCAGCCGCACATATGACTCCACGATACCATACCCCGTCGTTTTTGGCCTGCCTCGACTGACGCTGCTTTTATGCACTTTACAAATTGAATTTTCCACTTGCATTCGTCCCAGGATTGTTTCATTCGCAGAAGCCCCGTGGAAGACAAAAGGGACCGAGTTACTCTGACAACTTTGTTACCAACACCTTTTTAGCTACCTTTTGTTGTACGTGAACCATAGTTTTTCAGTTGATGTACACATGCGTTTTTCTTATGCACTGATTCGCTTTTGTTCTATTTTTCAAAATATTAAATCTAATTTTTGTGCCTGACACTTATAAAACCTTTAAGCTAGGCTTTACATTTTCGGACGAATCTGAGAATCACGCCTGATATGGACTGATTTTAAATTCAAAGAAAGCCGAAAAATATTATACCTGCGTTCTCCAAAGAAAGTTATAAAATGAATTTCCGTATAGTATATTCAGAAATAGAATAAAGGTTAATACCGATTGATAAAATAACAGTGATGATTAATTTATTATAAATTTTTTCACCGATTTTCTAATTAACCGAAGTTAAAATTTCTAGAGAAGACAGTGTTGCCCTCTTCAGCATTTTCTGGGAAATTGCAATGCTCATACGCACTGTCAGCCGCAAAACGCTGGGAACGAGATGAAACTGACGACAATACGTCGCTCATTCTGCCATTGCTAATTGCTTGGAAATTTCGCTCATTTCCACACGAAGGCTTTTCAATGGCATCCGCAACAATTTCAACAGAGGCAGAAGCAGCTTCAACAATTCCTATAAACAAGCTACAACAAAAACCAAAAAAGGGGAAAATCGGTTTGGCCTGGTTTTAAATAAAGCCTGTGCATGTGTAGGCATTTACTCTCGTTTTCTTTCATTGTGGCCTTGCTTCTGTTTTTATCCTTTATGTTTCTTTTCTGCTTTTCTTAATTTGTTGAATGTGGGGGCAATGAGGAGCTTTGCCAGGAGTGGACTAATGGCCCCATTTGTTTTAGTAAATTAATAATTTTTGCGCACCTGCTCTATTTATATGGTGTATATTTTAATAATCAGTTGTTAATAGAATGGTTGTTGCAAGGGTATACTAATACCTTATGTTACCTTTTCTGTTTTGAATCCATCCCTGTATTTACCAGCTGCATTTTATTTAATTCTTCTGCTGAGTTATTTGCGGAAAATTCCATAGTTGTCTGTTACCCAGGGGCTGCTTGGTTTCATTGCCATTAAACAATACTCGGCTCGAGGTAGTTTTCTCCTTGAAAAGGAATAATACAAAAATGGGCTGGTCTTTTTTTTTTGGTTTTATTCTTGCTGTAAACTTTTGCGTACATTTACATACAAATATGTCACATAGATATGGTTCTTATTCACATATATAGAGCTCAATACATATAATTATATGTTATACCTAACTTAGTAGTTATGTGTAATTTGTTGTCTTTATATTTAACTTCTGAGCTTCTTACGTAGGCTTAAATAAATAGGTCTCATCATAACTGCAAATTTTGGATGTGTTTTTGCTTTTTTTTTGTTGTCCTACATCTATAGATATATATTTTATTTAATTAACGCGTTAACATTTATTTCAACTTGTATAGATTTTTATGTAAGATTTATTTACAAATGAAAACTAAAGCATTTTCAATAATTTGTTATTGATTATTTTATGAATAGGGCACTGTAAGCCCTGTGAGCCTTAGATATAAATAGATGTAGTCGGAGTTTGCACATATAGTTTTCTTTCATATTTACAACGAAGTTTCATTAAATTCATTTAATACTTATTAATGCTTATACTATTGAAATATTTACATTTAAGGGAAGTATACAAATGCTCTTTTTAAATTCTCATTAACAAGATAAATTACAAAAAAATGAAGAAAATTTAAATCAATATGTTATTCATGGAACTTATAATTCATTACATGTTAAATGAAACAAATTGAATGCAATAAAAGTCCCATTAACTAAATCATATTATTTTTTTGACAAACAATTTAAAAAAATGCTATGTGTGTGTTTAGTATTAACATTATATCCAATTAATTACTTAATTCAACACTTTTTTGCTTTGCTATGTTGTGGCTCACATTTTTCTTTTTCCATTTGTTTTTTTTTTGTTTTATAATTCTGCTAAATTTACTATGTAAATTCGCTATGTACGAGTATGCGGTAAATACTTTCATCTAAATGCAAATTTGATTAACCGTTTTTCCACTTTTTGCCGTTTCTGTTTTGCATTTTTTTGTATAAATATAATTTATTTATTTCCATTTAATCGGAACTATTATGGTTTTTACATAATACAACATTTTGTAATCAGCTGTGGCTTTAAACGTGTGTGTCCTGAACGTAAACCTTTAAGATCCTTAGTTTTTTTATTTAATGAATCGTCAGAAAGTCAAATATTGTATATTTCTCATCACTTTGGTGCTCAATCCAAATACTGATGCTCTTTTTGCTGAAGATCCATTAAAAATGTTAAGAAAAAATTTATATTTTTTTAATCAAAAGCCATCTAGGTAATAATATAAAAAGATACTTTTTATATGAAGACATTCAAAACATTCATTTTGATACTCATAGGTACATTCCAATTGGTTAGCCTTCCGATAAATAAGGAGGCCACATCAATTGCCGAGTGTCGGATGCAGCTAACATTATTTGCTGCACATCAGCTGTCACTCTTGATTTTAATTTTACGCTCTAGTATAAACATATCTATTATATATCCGACTCTATGCGTGTTTGTATGTCTATCCCACCGCTGCAATTGTCTGGACTGCTTCCTCGCCACTCTATTCATCCTTATCCTGGTCCTCGCCTGGCCAAGGTTGATTTTATTCCTCAAGCTGCTTGTGCTCCAAATGGGTTTTCTTTGGCCCTTGCAATTATTTGATTTCATCTTGAAAACTTCCAAGGGCAGAGCATTCCGACAGAGCTGGGCCCGGCTGGGGAGGTGTTTTTGGCGACAACCTTATTACCACGGGTGGCCCAAAATGGGCACATTAAATGTTGCCTATGCGTCTCGCTAATAGAAAATGTTCCGATGTGCCGGCCGATAAAATGCAGCAGCATTGGCAGCCACCGAACAAAACAGCCAGCCAATATTACTATGCAAATGAGCATTGGCCACTGCCATTGACGTTGCCACTTCCACTTCCACAGCCATTGCCACTGGCGTTCGCATAGGCGTTGGCGTTTCGAGTGCTGCGTTGACGCGCCACACGGCGTATGAGCAATGTGAAATATGCGCACTTGCCGCGCCCACATTTGTGGGCTTTTTGTGATGTTGTTGCTCCCGCAATGGCTTCTGCTCACCCAGCATCCAGCGGCTGTATCGTTGTTGACAACGGTCTCCGGTGAGTTCGGCTGGTTTTCCATATTACTCATACGCCACCGACTTGGCGAGACCAGCGATAACGTCGACAGCCACGTCGGCAAGCCCTGCGCCGCCGGCAAAGAACTCGATAAACGTTTGAAAATCCCAAATGATTGCGTTTTAATGCCGAGCATTATTTTAGCAAGTAGATTATGCTGCGCCAGTGAGCCTGCAGAATTGTGAAATGCTCCGGGCGGATTACGCACGGGCGTTTGATTGTTATCGCCATTGTTCCCAGCATGGTTGCCTGCGGAGAAAGAGTGAGTGAGTGAAAGAGAGAGAGAGAGAGATAGAGCGAGGGGGACAGCATGTAGTAATCAGTTTTTTGGTTAGTCGGGTTTATGTTTTCATTTATTTTGTGCGTTCGGCGAATACCAAATTGGCACTGGATACATTATCATTACGGAGTCTGGGTCTGGTCAGGACGAGAGGATTGGTGAAGTGCCATGGAGTGGGATATGGATTTTGGGTGGCATTAAAGTAAATTGCTCTTCCCTGCCGGAAAGTATACTGTGCACTTAATAGTTCATTGTGTGCGTTGGAGGGTTACTTTGCTGGTTAACTCATTGATTTTGTGTCCCTGGCTTAAAGCATCAATCGCATAAATCGTTTTGGGGTATTAAATCGGGTTCTGATAGTTTTGGGAGTAATTAGTTTGGAAAATAGCGAAAATAGGTCGCACATCTGTTTCGTGCAGCTGTCGATTCCAGGTTGTTTTAAAAATATTTATTGTTTGACCGATTTTAAAATTAAAAATTCCAGCATTGAATGCCAATTAATTGGAAAGAGGAATGACAATTCAACATTTGACTTTTATTTCCCTGGGTTTTGAACGAGGACACGAATTTTCAGTTTATTTTTCCTGAAACTACAAAGATCAAGTCTAGAAACTGCGCTGGAAGAACGTCTATATCATTATATCATTTCGGATCCATACCTTGCACACTTTAATTGCATACAAACCAAACTATTTTTATATAGAATTAAAAGGCTAATGTTTCATTATCTAACTTTGTACAAGTACGAAGCAATCTTTTTAAAGGACGCTCTGTAGTTTTCTTCTTTATTGTGATATTAATGTAGACCACTTGATCCACCTACTTCATTCCGCTTGTTGACCTCCCGTAGTTGTCCTTTTCACAGTTTTTATATACACATATTTACCAGCACACACCACCGTTTTATAACGACGTTGTACTTCTTTATAACGTCAAGGCATTGGACAGCGATTACTTGGCCATATTTCACCGTTCTTTTTGCCCGCCCTTTTACAGTTTTCCCACCCACAACCCACTGTCTCCGGCTGATTGAGTGTCTTTGTGACCGATTCTGCTGCTGTTGGTTTTTATGCACGTCATTGAACGCACTTTGTTGACCGCACGTCAATATCGGATATATACGGCAGCGACAGTGGTTGATAACAGGAAAAAATGTCAGTGGAAATCGGAGCTGGTAGCAAAGTAAAAATAATGTCCACTTGAAAAATCACTCACTAATTGCGCCAATCCATCATTATCCTTCTAATTTTTCACCCCTTTGGGTACATTTTTCGGTGTGCAGCCCACTGTCATAGGTTCTTCGTGGGGCAGGACCTGCGGGGGCTATTAAATATATTTTATCTGCCTTTAATCTTTGGCGTTTGACTTTTCGTCGACTGACCCCATAAATAACCACAAAGTGGGCTTTAAGAGCGCATTCCCTGGGCTCTGAATGGTTTGTTGGCAGTGCGGGATGAGGCTGTTTTCACAACAGCCAGAGTCATAAATATAAAGTGATAGATGCGTACAACAGAAGGGGGTTGGCAGACCAAGAGTGAAATTGAATTGTCTACGAACGCGTTTGAACACTGGAAAACTGTTCGAATTAAAGTCGGAACTTTTATACGAAAAACCATCTAAAATCATTAAGTAAAGTGCCCGATGGGAATCCTTCCGATTCATAAGCCGACTTTAAAAGTGTTGCAAACGGAAATCCCCCAAGTTCCGACCCACATATGGATTCCAGCATCACTTTGATTGTTTACCTACATCCGAAAAAAAGTGCCATCTATTCCCTTTAGCATTTGATTGATGTCAGCGGTGTATAGATTAAGGCGGAGTGAAAGAGCCAGAGGAAGCAGACAGTCAATGCCCGCATTTACGCTTGATTGAGAGCACACTGAAAAGGTGTCATCCCGACAGCCAGACAATTTTGATGGCATATTTCATTTGATGTGAGGCAATAAATATTTCCGTTTTGCCCTGGTTTTTGTTTTGGTTTTGTCGCGTACTTTTCTGCCTTTCGGCCTGGCCCAATCGTACCTTTTTGATATTTTATTTATAAGCACCGAGGATGCGCCGAGAAATCAACGTCGAAACTGCCAATCGCCAATCAATCAAAAAAAGCATTTCCCAATGGCATTTTGCGGTACACTTTGCCTGCCGTTTATTTTGAATGCAGTTGAATAAAATATTGAATGCCAACATTATTTGTTTTCCTCTCGTTTCAGCATCCAAATTAAATCCATATTTCTTGCATCGTTAGCACATGGTTGCTTTTAATATCAATATGTGACTCAATTGCCATAAAAGATACCAAAGTGGAGATCGCAGGACCGAAAAAATGTTTTAGCTTTCTATTGATAAAAGCTTTTAGTTTGTTGGCATGCACAGCAATTAAACAAATCTGAAATATTGGTGCTTTTAGTAAATGTTTCTCTAGTTCTTAATTCCTATTCAACCAGTTTCTATTTAAGCCAGGTGCAAATAGAAGACTAATAAAAAGGAAGAACAAAAATAATAAATGTGCAAATTATCTTTTCAATAATGATATTTAGATGTCAAATCCAACTTCATATTTATAAGTATTTGTATTATAATTTTTCATTCCCAATTTGTTTATTCAAAACTTCTTTGCTAAATCTTTTCTCCCATCCCCTAATTGTACTTCAAATTCTGCATCTCTGGCTTAGCGTCTTCATTAGGCTTCCCCAGAAACTTGAAGCCCCAAGCTCCAATGTTGAATCAATAAAGTCAACGGCCCACTAGCAGAAGGTCCCCTCCCCAATCGCCTTATAACCCATCGCCTGGATTTCCCCACCCACTGCGGACTATCCCACAATGAACAGGCATTTTATCTGCTTTTTCGCATTCTTCCCTTTTTCTCCTTTTTCGGTGCTTGCAATGCACGAATGCCTCCGGAGCCAGGACTCTGTAGCCAAATGGGACAGGATCGGAGTTGGGCGGACAAGGGCCAGCCACGCCCACTCTGAAGCAGTTCGGGCTTCAGTTCATTAGTGCAGTCGGTTGAACGGCATTTTACGGACGCGTGCCTTAAATAATTGCATTTTAAATGCAATAAACACAAGCAAAAATAAAACCAAAAAAAAAAAAGGAAACCAGAATAATACCAGTCGGTTGTTACGGCTGGCGATTCAGCAAGGATTATTTCAGCCTAAAACCAGGCAGCAGAAAATTTGAAAAGCCAATGTTTATGGCTAATTTGGCTGCGGTCAGACTACACCATATCTGTTCTATCATATCCGGAGGGCGTTTAGCCGGGCAAATTTGACAGTTTACAAAACAAATGCAACAAGACACGTGTTTTGCCCACACCTCCGCTCAAACACATATTCGCAAATACTAGATGGATGCGCAGCCAGATGGACTTTGTCGTTGACATGACCAAAATGTCAGTGTCAATCAACAATGTCGCTAGTTTTTATTGCTAGCCTCCACTTGTTGGTGTTGCTGTCGCCCGATGGCGTTTTTATTGCTGCAAAATTTATTTGACTTGCAGCAGAAGGGATCAGCAGATCAACACCGAACCACAAAACTCAAAGCGACAGATACAACTGGCTAATACGTCTAACATAGATTCAAGTTTAAACAGAACAAAAAACTGAAACATTTTATTTTTAATTTTTTTTTATTTTAGCAATTTTTGGTTGAACGGCTAGCTAAGTGTCTGATTGCAAAACTTAAGAAGAATTTATATAAAGTTGAAAAAAGTATAATTAAAATATACTAGATTTCAATATAGTATTAATGGGATTAAGTTCAATAGCCATCATTTTGATTATTATAATCTTTACTCTTAATCTTTTGTCTTAGATATTATTTGAGGGAAAAAGTTGAATTGAAAATATTTAGTTTTCACTAAAATATTAATAGCTTTAATTTTAATACCCAAAGTACTTATTACAAATAAAATTCAAATCTCTAAGTTTGCATTTTATCATTTCCGAGTCTCACAGAAATAAAACCTTTATTGCCATTTAAAGTTGCTCTGCTCCTTCATCCGACATTCTCTTTGCGAATTTCGTGCTCTTTGTTTTCCAAAGTTATTGTGCTGTAAGCCCCATTTATTGCTTTTCCCGTCAATGCTTATGGCACTACACAAATCCAAGATGCCGGCAGCAACAAAGTGCAATTTGTATTTGCCACGGAATGCGAATGAATGAGAATAACAACAAGGCAGCCAACTGTAAGCGTCATTTCGCACAGAACGAGGAAATTTAATTAATTTTTAACGTTTGTGCTAAACACTTGGCCCCACAAAGTCCTGGCAACATTATGCGCAGTCCAAGTTTTCGGCCAAGGAAAGGTACAAAAAAATATTGAAATTATAAGATAACACGGAGACGCACTTGAAATGTGAATGCCATGAAAGGAAAATGCAACCACGAGGGGAAACTTTGGCCTCGCAAATATAGTAGAAAGTGCAGCATGGTCCATAAAAAGCCACTAAAGAAGAGATAGCCATGAAAAGGGAGGGAAATGGGAGTGATGAAAAGGGGACTTTGGGATGGTTGAAAGGCTGGTGGAGATATACATAGTACTTACCTTGGGCACCGTCACGCCACTCCTCAACCCCATAATCAGGCAAAGCGTTAGCCGAGTCAAATTTATTTCTATGACGTCTCTTGCCATCTTTATATTTTTTACACATTTTTAATTTTATGCAGCAAGCGTCAGTCAAGGAGGAGAGATATAGTTCAGGGAGAGATCGGGATAACGCGGTACGTGAGTAATGGCGGTTGTTGTTGTCGGTTGTTGTTGGTTTTGAGAAGGGCATAACATGAAAGAAATATTCAAATGGAGGAAGGTTTTTGGGAAACAATAAAGAGGGAGAAACCATATAAAAAGGAATTTAGTTATACACATTTACACAGATGCTAGGGTAATTGTATGCTAAGGTATTTTTTATTTAATTTTGCATTTATTTGCATTTAATAGCCCTTTGATGGGGCAACAAAGCTGGCAAGCAACCAACAATGGGGAAAAAACGGAAAAAGAAATTGCATGCAACTTTGACTTGATGGAGTCGAAACGAGGTGGATCCAATGGATGAGGAATGGGGTGCGGTCTTATGTGGTGTGGTCTCAGGATGATTTGTGTTTTCGGCTATTTGCGATGATTACTGTAATTTCAACATGTTGGGGACCCTTATCGCTTTCAATTAGCAAATCTACATTGCCTGTAAGCCCAATTTAAGTGATTTCACTCAGGTGCAATCAAAAAAATGTTAAGGAAAACAATTACATAGCGTTTATGATTTAGTAACCTAGTGCATGCTCTTAAATGTTGGGTTTCAATGAACACAAACGAAATGGTCTATTTTTTATTGATGAGGAAAAACTCGCTTGGAATTTATGATTCTTTGGCCTTATGAACCAATTTAAAAATAGTGCTGACTGTGATTTCGTGCTTTGCAGTGCATAAAATTAAAAACCCATTATTGTGTTATATTATTCATGATCAAGCAAAAAAATTATGCTGCGATGCTTATGGTTGAAATTTAATCAATTAGGGAGTTAATCGAATGGCTATGAACTGGACATAATGAAAATTTAAGCTTTTTGCCATATTAGTTTGCTCTTTAAAGTGCACATTAAACAGCAAACTTTATTAAGTGAAATGTACTTGATGGTTAATAATGACATTAACTCTTACCATAGCTGCGGTTGAGCAAGGACATCTCGGAAATAATGGCTGTTGTTGGTGTGGGCATTTCTGTAAACAATAAAGGATAAAGAATAAATATTTTTAGAAAAATAACATCATTGTATTGCAATAAAAACAATTAAGTGGCAAGTATTGAGTGCATAACAACGTAAAGTGGTAAACAATAAAGTACATGACAATATATCCTCTTACCGTCCAACTTTATGTTTCCATCAGTTTCGCCCAGAGAGTTCTTGGCCACACAGCGATATGTGCCAAAATCGTTTGGACCAACGGCACGGATTTTTAACTTCATGTATTTCGTGTAACCGCTGACGGTTGATGTGGTCTCGTATTTATCGCCGGCTCGCGAGGTGTCTGAAAGTGCGAAAAATGCGGAAAAAGTGTCAGGAGGCGGCGGTCCTTAAAGCTGGTGTGCCATAAATTACAGTGACAATTTTCCACCAATAGCGTTATGGGTTGGAAAATATGTAATGGGAAAAAATCAATTAATTAATGTCACCTGCACTGGGTTGCGGTAGCTGTTGTTAGTGCTGGCCATGTGCAGTGAAGTGAATCGCTTTCTCAATCGGGACTCCAACTAATTACGCCCTGTTCCTCCCATTCCCTCACATACCACCACCCTCCCTTTCAGTGAGTGTGTGTGTGTGTGTGTGTGTAATTAAAACTGGCGCAGTTCTTCAGCTATTTCCATTGCCATCGCCAACTAAAACTTTTCTCATTAATCAGTGAAAATCTAAAAGAAAAACTTTTGTTCTCCTGACGCCTGCGGCTTTAATTTCGTTCCATTTCGTTTCGTTTCATTTCGTATTGTGTTGCCTACTTTTTGGGGGCCCTTGTAGCACTACGAAAAAGAGAACAAGTAGCTGGCAGTAAGTAGCATTAAATATATAAACTTAATTTCACTTTGATTGCTTGGCGCATTGTAAGGCGATATCGCATGTTACCCATACGTCATGTTGTCCTTTGTCTATGCCTGTGTGTGCCTGTGACAAATGTCTTTAGTTTTCCCTGTTTTCTTTTTCCTCAGCCCCAAACAATGGGGGAAAAACAATTTTCCACATAGCGGCCAACTTGCATGTGACCCGCTCTTGCGACTTCTTTTTATAGCCCTAGTCACCTTTTGTGATACTTCTCCATCTCTTCACATGCCACAACTATCCGTAGGCCCACATGTAAGTCCCTCCGACACGCAAATATATAATTTTTCTCATAATCATCGGCGGCAGCAATTCTTTTTCCTGGCTGCCAAGTCTTTCAAGGAACTTTATACTTTTAATACCAGCCACATTAAAGGAAAGTTTCGGTTTCTAGAACTGCTTGTAGAATTGCTTGTCCTGATGACTGGCATACTATACGTTTGTGATATATGGCATCTGCCGTAGACAGTTAAACGAGGGTAGTTTATAACCTTATGAGAGGGAAAAAGTGTTTGGCTATAAATTGCATAGAAAAAAACTATTTTCCTTAACATAAAGGGCAATTAAATGTTCATATATTTACCCAAATAGATCGTTTAACATAAGAAGTAAAAAGTTCTATAGAGTCAACCACAAAACTTTGTCTTAAAAAAATCATAGGTAAAGGAAAACATATTTATCCAAGTTATAAAAAATTAATTTAATTTTATTTTATATTCTTTGGTTTTAAGTACTTTTATTGACCTAAGAAGTGTGGTTCAAGAATGACTATTCTTCCTACTTTTAATGCTACTTCCGTTTTCGTTTTTCTTTTCATAGACATTTGGAACAGAATGGAACTCTATGGGAAAGCGGTTAAAATTTATTACCCCAAACTTTTGGTGGCTGTTAGCCATACATCATGAAACGTGGCTTTCATATCTCATATCTCAGTTCGCATTTTCCTCGCTGTGGCTGAGTTTGTGGACTGTGCGTGTGTGCATACGAAATGACATATTTCCGCCTCAGAATTTTCTACCTGGGCCAACTAAAGCATGGCCATAGTTTTGGCTTTGAGTTGGGCATGGCCATATCTTCCTTATCGAACAAACAAAGTGACATTTAAGCATAAAATGAAACCGAATGACAGTCCATCAAAGGCTCGTCTATATTTAGCTCAATTTTTATGCATATGAACTGCCATCAATGAGTCATGGGGGTTGGCTTATATTGGATTGGATTTCTGCCTGAAGTCAATAGGAATTTCAAATATTGTTGTTCCCTGGTTTTAAGGCTTTTTTTTAGAAATTTAATATCTTGGATGGCCCATCGGTTCTTTTTCGGCCAACAGAAAGTAAGTTGTTATTACACAGCAAATTTTAGATAACACAGAATATGCGAATGGAGTCGGAACGATATGATATTTATTTTCCGTTTTAATTTAGCAACGATGCCATGAGTTCCGACATTCAATTCATATTCATATTGAATATTTTCACCTCCCTCTTGTATTTTGGCACCTATGCAAAATTGCCAGCCAACGCGATTATGTTTAAATAATTTCCGCAACAAAATAATATTTTCTGACAGTTTCCATTTTCTTTATTCAATTTGTATTGTGCATCGATTTTTGCGAATTTATATGATGTTGCATTTGGCCATTACCAGCGCATCAAATATGTTATTTATTAGTTTTGATTATTTCAATTTTGACCATATTTAATTTGGACTGCATTGTGAGAGCTCTGTGGTTAATTAACATTATTGTGTTCTGAAGCATTGGTATTCAACATCAACTTAAAGTTTAGTTTAAATGTCAAATTCTGATGAAACAAAAAAAGCACTCAAAATATAGCCGTTTTAAATAATAATTGTTTTTATAATTATTGCATTGGTTATAATTTAGTTAAGCAAAGCTTAAATAAAAATGTTAATTCCTGCATAAAGAATATTAATCATTTTTAAGAACAAACCTTAAAGTATTCTTATGTGCACAGTGCATATTTACTGCTTGATGAGTTTGTGTTGGAGCTCTGTTCAGATCGTTCTGACACATGTTTAATCTCTGCCTGCTTTCAACTTTTCGGCTTGCTCTGAAATCTGTCCAGTGTCAATCAAGGGAAAACTGTTAAAATGTCAGCCCATAAAGAAGAGACACTTTAAGGCAGCGCAGTTCAATGTGCCACAATGTCTCCGTGTCCTCGTGTGCACATGTATGTAAATGTGCATTTTAAGCCTGTCACACTGTGCGTATGGGCAACGCATTTAATGGCGAACCACTACATGTGAAAAAAATACTTAAAAAACCCAAAACTTCCATGTAGAACCGTAAAAAAGTACACCCCATCAACATTCACTTGCACTCCCTCGCATCTGAAAAAGCGAAGTAAATGGGATCTGCTCTACTGGGCTTTTCGCGTTCGCTACACTGATGCAAGTTTTCATTTTGTTTCCCCTTTCGGCATTTCCCATGACAATTTTCCGCAGACTGGTCTTAAGCGAGTAAAGGAGTCTGAGGTGTTGGTACGCATGCCGATTACATTGTAAGCTTATTTACAAACGATTTTCAGTAAATCGGGATCTGTTATTCGATTTTATTCAGATGAAAAAAGAAATAAGTCATGCTTACTTTGGTAGGTAAGTCTACCTTAACTTACCCGATATGATCATGTCGCCGCGCTCTGTAGTCCAGTAGTTAATCGATGCAGGATAGGCCTCAGTGTGGCACTCGAGTATAACATCTTGACCCACATAGGCTCCCTCCAGCTGATTGGGAATGGAGAGCATCGGTGGAACTGTAGATGATTGAGAACATTTTCCTTTTATTTTTTAACCCTTGCGACATTAAAGCATATTTAGCACAAAATACTATAATCTTTCAAAATTTACTGAGCCATTCTTAGTACTTCGTTTGCATTTTGAAGTAGGATTTCATAAGGGTGCAACTATTGTAGTCAGAAAGCTTGTTACACCTGAAAGTAATCCACTTCCATTATCTTTGAATTGAATCCTTTCATCCCGGCAGTTGCCGCTACCCTACCACTACTATACTGTTTTTCCCATTACAGAACCCATACCACTACCAAAATACGTCACGGACTTTTCATCAGCTCTACGGCTCCATCCGAGTTTTACCGAGAATTTTGCATACCATTTTACGTGAGTTTACAAACTGTTTTTGGATTAAAATGCACTCAGTCATTAAAAGTACGCCTGGAAGCGAGTGATTGTGTCTGGGACATGGACGTCCATCTGGGCAGGGCGTGTGTGCGTAAATAGCTTTTGTTGCTGCTGTTGATACTGGGGGAAAATGGCTGTTTGCGGGTGTTGGGGGTGGGAGGGGCCCCCCTAGTAACAACAACGCATTTTGGCCACGCACACATCAAGGGGGCACAAAATAACACCTGCCGACAAACAAACAAACAAACGCCCACAAACAAAGCGAAATGAGCGCAGTGCATCGGGAGCACATCAAGACTAGAGATGGCAGCTTAATGCTTTATAATTCAAATATTTATATTTTTAAGTTCCAATATGTGACAGCATTTCAACGCATGGGTTCAGATATTATAAGGTTTTGTTATCCAACTATGATGACTAAATTATGAGTTTGATTTTTGATTTAAGATAAGCCCATTAATTTTTCGCGATACCTTCGTAATCTAAATTTAATTTTTCCTATCAACAATTGCATAAGCTGTCCATCACTAACACTTTCAGCCACAGGCAGTGGGACAAGCACAGTCAAATTCTCACAGGTAAATTAATTTAACGTGACTGCAGCTTTTGGTCGATTTTGGCCAAGTGCGTGGGCAGTTGGCCACCCATTACCACCCATTACCACCCACTGCCCGTCCATCTCCGCTTTGTATGCCAATGTTGAGGACGCGTTGCGGTTATTGCCCCAAAAACTGCATTGCATGGGTGTGGATAGGAGGTAGGCTGCCTTGTTTTGTGTGTTTTACGCATTGAATACAGCGTTCGTCACAACCACATTCCCCAATACCTCACTCCCTACCACTGGCCATTAATATTGCAAGAGAGTTGGAGCCCAAAATGGATTTTACGTTATTTTTGCTGTTTCCGTTTTACGCACCCCAGAAAATTCTGATGCACCGAATTCATTTTAACTGTGAAATTGGTTATTTTGAGCAGAATTATAACTCACCGCGAATGCCACGAAATTTTAAAATTTAATTTTATTTAAACGAAATTACCACAATAGCTTATGAAAAAACCTTTTGAGCACATTAAAAATATTTTTTAAGCAATTTAAATAAAGAGCTTTTGTATATGCTTAAAGTACTGTAGTCAAATACTTTTTTGACTAAAAAATAAAATATAAACTTCCGTTGCCAGACTTTCTAATCCAATTTGTCAAAGTTTTAAAAGTAAAAATTCAAACCCAATAAAAGGCAAACATTTTAATGCTGATGAATAAAAAATGTATAAGCCCAGAGGAAAGTCCCTCGCTGGCTACGTGCCTGACTGCTAGAGTTACCCGCTTCCAGCCAGTTAGCCAACTTTGACCGGCTAGCTAAACGCTTGACATTTACTCACATTGCACACGCAGGTGGACCCGCTTGCTAATCGATGGCGGGACTCCGTTGGAGGCGACGCACAGATATGCGGCCATGTGGAGGCGACTCACTTTGGTGATGTGCAGCAGCTCCCCGTCGACCACGTTGACTGCGGGGATCGGGAATCGGGGAATCCGGGGGTGGGGAATCGGGAATGGGCGAGAAAACGACCCGGTTAAGCCAAGTGCAATGCGGCGGAATAGGGTCGCTTACCGTGCTCCCCGCCAATCAGCATCTCCTCGCCGTCCTCGCGACGCCACATGACGTAGGGCTCGGGATAGCCACGTGCCTTGCAAACCAGGGAGACATTCTGACCCTCGCGCACCACCATGTCATTGCTGGTCAGCCCCTCGACAATCATCGGGGGAACTGTCGGATGTGTGAGAGAGCGGGGGAGGGGTTATCGAAGGCCAATGGGTCACACTCGGGGTCAGTGGACCATGCGGGGGATTAGTTTTCGTACTCACCAACCACCTGCAAGTAGCCCTTCCTGGAGCGCATGGGATCCTGTCGGGAATAAACAGATTAGCTAGCTGATTCCATGACCTCACTTACAAGGACTCGGGCTCACCGTGTTGACTTGGCACATGTACCAACCGCGATCCGTCTCCTCCACCTCTTTTATGTGCAAGTACCACTGCAGAGTAAATTATTTTGCGGACATGAAAAGACAATGCTAGTTATTAAAATGAATTACTATTTATATGTTCTTGTATCAATCTAATAATTTGAATTGAAATAATTACTTCTTAAGACAAATTTCTCAAGCATCTGTTTCAATTAAATTATAATCTTTTTGGGATGCAGCACAAATGGTTCTCTGCTAAAAATTAAACTTTCAAATATTCAATTTGCAAACAAAGGATTTTTTATATTTATCATTTGACCCACCGATCGATGGTCATTGTAGGTCAAGCTGATCCGGCTGTTTTGTGAGATGACATTGTGGTGGATAGAAAGGATGGTCTGGGTGTCTACCCGCACCCAGGCCACCTTGTAGCCCTTGAGGTTCTCCACCACGCAGGCCATAAGGGCATCTCTTCCAACGGAGACGGTGACATTGGCAATGGGTTCAGCAAATCGCGGAAAATCCGAATCTGAAAGGGAAACACAGACATGATTTAGATTGTACATTTTGTAAGCTGAGTCCATTTAATTAAAAGTTCACTGATCCCTTTCGGTTGGCAGAAGCATGAAGGGAGCATAACAGATATTTTCCTTCCATTCCGTGCCCCTGCATTGCGGCACATTGCGCATACGCCCCGTGTGACCCTCGAAAGGGGGGAAATGAGAGCATATTAATTACCTTCCTGTGCCGTCTGCTGGGTGTCCAGGCGCGTGTGTTTGCCTGCAAGCGAAAAGAATGAAAGTAAGAGCGTTAGAACATTTAATTAATTTAATTTTTTTCCGTCCGAATACGACTGCCCGTTCCATATGGGTTATAAACAAAAATTAATTAGCCACGCCATCCAAACTTTGTCTTGGACAGAAATTGTGTCTGTCGCCATGTTTTGCTGATACGGCAGAAATTTCCTGCTGCGCTTTCAGATTTTTGTTTTTAGTTTCATTTATTGCATTCGTTCTATGACAAAAGTTCAAATTTAATTGTTTCTGGCTGCGTTGGCACTTTTTCCCCATTTTTCCCAGCTGCAGCGGAAACTTTTACTGTTCAAGCACGGCAGGAAATTTTTGCACAAAAAAGGTGAAAGGTGTTGGGCAGGAAATTTTTCATATAAAAACTTGACGGAAATTGCAAACTAGCGATACTCTGTTGAACAACTTTACACCAAAAGGGGAATAAAAAATCAAATTTGTTTGTGACTGTTATTTGCAATATCGGGACATTTGGCTATTCGTCTTCACCCCTTATTTTTAATGGGCGTTAGACACTTTACAAATGAGTTGCACAAGCGTTCAAGAAATTTGAGCTGGCAGCAAATCGCATTCGCCTTGAAGAACTCTGCAAGCGTTTGCTAGTAACATAAAACGGGTAAATTGAAAAACGCTTAAGCATTTTTACAGCTTTTAACACGGCGCCGCATATTGAATTACGTTCAGTCCAGTCAGTCTTCCTTTTCAGCAGGACAACTGCTACCGTTTCCTGCCACTGGCCATTGGCTTGCCGCCCGATCCCCGACCCATCTGGATTTTGTGCTGGCACTTTTCAACTTCACTTCCCCCGGAGCAGCTGCTGTTTATGCCTTTTCAGCTACAAAAAATGCTCAACACGATTTGCGCTGTTGATTTACGTTTTAGCACGTTTTTCGTACAGTTTAGCTACCGTTTTTCATGCTTTCTTTTGGGAAAGTCCTCTTATTCCACCCTTTTTTTTTAGTTTGACCTGACAGGTTGCATTCTCCGGCTTTCCGCCATTTGAATGGTGTTTCACTTTTCCTTTGGCAATTTAATGAGCAGCTTTTTATCGCCACTGAGATTTGTCCCTGACTCGTTTGGCCTTAATCCTGCACGACACCACCTGCCACTCCTGCACTCCAGTAAAGTAAAATGAACCCCATTTGCCCTCGCAATTTATATTTTAGTTTTTTGCCTTTAATTTGTTATTTAGCTCTTGTGTCAACAGGGCTCACATGACACACAGGCCTCGACTTTCGACTGTGGACGCCAGTCAATTGGGCCGAGCTCCATTCCCGATCTGGCGTCCGAGATTCTATTTGTCCAGTGTCCACCTGCACCCATTTGGTCTCTTTGTGCAAACGCAGGCAACCATTCCATTTGTCAGGCTCGACGGCGGCAGGTTGCCTACCAAACCTAAGCCGCCACCGCCTTTTGAACTTTGTGCAAACAAAACGCAGCGGGAAATGCCTGAGCTGAAAAGTGGCTGGCACTTTCAATGGGTCGGCCCTGCGAGCTTGATAGTCGCAAATGTTAGTTTTGATGAACTGTTTTATTACTCAGTGCAACTTAAAAATCTTAGGTTTTAAATGCCCCAAAAGAAATTCACCTTGTCTTAAAATGTTATGCTTGGTATTGGTAATCAAAAAAAAAAATTAAAACACTTAGGAAATTGCTTATAACATTAAATATTACAGAACTCTTTATATTCAACATACTCCCAAATACCCTAAAACTAAAAAAAATATCTACAACGTTAAATACACGTTGAAAGCAAATTTGACAGAGCTCTTTTAGTGATATTTATTTTGTTTTTCAAAATGCACTTTAGTTCCTAAACGTGTAGGTAAATTCAAATCATTGGCATATTTGTACGCTCTTTAAGAGCTGCATTTGGTGGATATAAATAAATTTAAGCCCATTGAGCGTGGATTTCAAAGTCACGCACCTAGTCTGCAGTCCTTTCCCAGTTATTGGCGGAATTAAGGTCCACCAGGTTGCGGTGAAGGTAAGTTAGCCAGGCCATAAGCAGCTTTCACCTTTTCCCATTCTTCGGCATAATCTCGACCGTCTCCGCAAACAAAATGGTCGTCATAAACAAAGAACACACACAAAAGAAAACGTTTGCCCAGACGTGCCGCCTACTCGATTTTCGGCAATGCTCGACAATAAACTTCCGGCACAGTGGATGCATAATGCAAACAAACTTTGTGCCATTTGAAATATTTTAATAATCTTTAAAGATAAACTTAATTTACTTAAAACCTATGTTATCTTTTATCTATGTTATCGCAAAAATGACTTCTTTTTAAAATGACAGATTGTTTTTCAGTTGCAGATAAATAATTCATTGCCAACATAAACTTTTAATCCTTGACTTTTTTATTTTTTACCAAATTGTATAATAAGGTCTTCAATTCTCACTAAAAACACATATGATCCTGAACTAGTTATGCTTTAAGAATTTCTTCTTCATTCCGAAGATTAAGAAAAGGTTGGCTGCTTCAAAATATTTATGCTAGCAAATATTTCTTATTTTCCCCACTGTAAGCTGCTTAGGTCCTCGCCGAGCTTCTCTTCCGTGTCCCTTTTTATGGGCCCATCTTTTTTGTTGGCCATTTTTTCCGTTTATTTAGCTTGGAATGCTTTTGGGAGGCGACGGAAAGGAACTGGAGGAATACTTTGGCTGGCCGTTTATTGTCGTTTATTTGTCTTTTTGCCATTTTTATATTTACGCATATAATCGCTTTCAACGCTTGCCGGCGCCTTGGGAGATGGAGATGCTTTGGCTGGGACGTGGGTCTTGACGGCGCTTATAAATATGATGTTATCGCTTTTTATGGTCCACTTTTATTGCCGGCAATCAGTCTTGCGTTTTGTTTGCTGATTGCTTGCCATTATTCAAATGTATTTGTTTAATTCTCGGGGATTGGCAGCCACAAATCATTTTAAATCCGCAATATGTCACCAAATATTTGGACAACGAGCACATTGCTTTTTTCGTATCACAGATGGTTCTTGTGCGGGTCATTATTGCGGCTTATAGCAGTCATTAAGTGGGCATCGTCCAGGACACATTGAAGACCATTACAAGCACCCACTCAACTATTCGCTTGCCAATCCACCCAGCCTAATCAGTTGCCAGCTCATAATCACATTGCGTATACGTAATTAGTTTAGCGTTTGACAAGGCGAGCAAATCTTCACTGGCCGCCGAGTCCTATTTCCATGGCCCTCCCCGTGCAAACGTTCCGCAAACTGATTATACTTGCACTTTGTTGACAAACGAGCTGATTAAATGCCGGCTCTCGGTCATTATGCAATTAACTGGCAACTGACTCTGTCGACTGCCTTTATTGCCCGACACCCAGCTGTGTCTGTGAATGTGCGTGGGTTTAATAAGGTGGCCGAAGGCAGTTTGGCCTATTTACATTAAAGCTTAAGCACGAAAACAAGATGATTATATTGAATTTTGATTACCGATGGCTTCAGCAGAAAGGCCGATTAATTAATTGGAACGGAAGCTAGCTTTGGGCGTTGCTTTAGCCCATATGGTGTAATTGAATGTGAGGAAATTGAATTGGGAAAATAAATATCTATTTAGGATCTGTTGCGGCAAAATAATATTTTGAAATAACACAATCACTATTAGATATTTCCTTATAAAATTGTAAGTCAAAACTCGTAAGAGATATATTTGAATCAACTATTATTATTCATTATTATTGCTTAAAGTATTTATTGTTCACTTACATTCTTCTTTCTACACGTTTAGTATCTCCTCAGTATCAAATAAATAGAAACTTTACTACAAACCGAACAGGTCCCCAACTGTTAATCAGGAATGCACACTATAGCTGGCAGCATATGAAATGCTTTGTGCAAATTGTTTACTTTTTGTCATAGAGTGAATACCAACCAGATTCCCACAAAATCCGACAGAGGAAAGCCAAGCCATAGAATGCCTTGAATTTGTGCACAGGGAATAGGGGGTGGCACGAAAAAAGTGTCTAAGAATGCAAAGCAAAGCTCTACCCGACAATATATGTACTCATATATTCAGGGGAAAACAGAGGAGACCGCAAAACAAATAGCAGATGCGGCAAAAGTGCATTTCGCCAACTTGGCAGCCAAATGAACTCGAAGTGAACCCGTAGTACACATGTTAAGGAGGATACTTATGTGTGTCCCGGCCAAAATGCGAGCCTGTGTAACAAGTTTTTTGTTTCACGACAGGACAACGGTTCAATTCCAGATTCGACCTGATCGATGGCACGTTACAGCAAACTCATTAAGAACTTTAATTAAATCGAGAGCCGGCAATGAGCGGGCGAAACTGCAGCAAGAAAACTCATTATTCATAACGACACGAAGGCACAGAACCGACACGGTAAATCTGGGTCCAGCTGGAGAGGCGTTGGCAGCTGCAACAACTCAAGTCAGTTCCCGCCCCCCGAAGCGTGCTGCACAAACAAAATATAAAAACAAAATATGTGCGAAAATGTGTCGGAAAGTGAGGGAAAACATAAAGCATGCCAGCGAGCAGAGTGCGGATACCCGCTCAACTGCAGCCCGGTCTTCTTATGACTTATGTTGCCAGCTAGTCGGATTCAGGACTCAGGTCCTGTGGAGTGGCTGACGGGGTCCTTTAGGTGTTAGCCATGGCTTCAGTCACCTGACAGCAGCTACGCTTAAGTTGCGCTTAACGTTTTAATAAATGATTGTGACAAACGCAAATTACGGGCAAGTGAAACGATGCTAATATAATTGCGGTTTGCTCTCTTAAAATGGGTAAAAAGCTGTATAATATAGCAGTTAACAAAATTGTTCTTTGTGGATTCTTTAGGGTAACAACAAAATGTGCTTGACTCTTCCAGTGAATTAAGGAATTTGTTTTGGAAATAAAAACAAATGTAGAGCAAATTTGAACCACATCAAAATATTTTTAAAAATGTTTTGAATATCAATTTAAACTAACACCTTATAAAGAGTGCT